TGCTGGTCGACCAGCAGTGCCACCCCTCTGTGCCTCCGCCCATCACACAACCTGTTATGCTGGTACAAAGAAAACTAGCCAAAAGGTGACTGTATCGGCAGGTTTCAGAAATGTTTCCTGTTAGGAGAGACACACGAGTTGATAGAAGTCAATCAAAGCCTTAATGTCATCGAGATTAGAATGAAAACCTCGACAGCTCCACTGTATCAAAGTGGCCATTTTTATGTAGGGTTAGGAGAACAGGGTGGAGAATCATTTGGTTTATGACCACGCCATTTTTATTTACTAGATGGAGGTCGATTGACCTCCATGGATCCTGCCCTTGATCAAGTGGGCAGATCTCTGTCATCAGAGTGAGAATCCAATGACTGAGGATGTGATTGAATGATTGTCCTGCATTTAGGGGCCAAAGAAGGACCCAAGCGGACACCAGAGGCTGGTGCCCAAGGAGGTTGACCCAGGCAGTCACTGGAAGGAATAGTGGGGACAGAGATTGGGCAGAAAACCCCTCACATGGCATGAAAAAGACTCAGATGGAGGCATGGAAAGGTCCGAGATGCAGTAGGGAACAATAGCTTCCGAGCCTCTGGATAAGAAATGTTGTGAACAGTCTTCAAATGCTGTACCTCTTTCTCCTCAAGCCACTTAGGGCAACACCTAAAGTAAGAGGGGTGGGAACCACTACAATTAACACAGTGAGGGTCCAGTTTGCATTCATAGGCGTCATAGTCCTTGCCACCACAACGAGCACACATCACAGAACCATGACAAGATGTTTTCGAATGACTGAACCGCAGGCACTGAAAGCATTGGAGAGGGTTGGGAATATGGGGCCATACTTTCAATTCAAATAACCCACCTTAACAGTGGCAGGTGGACGTGGTGATGAAAACTTCAAAATAAGAACTGAGGTCAGCACCATAATACTATCTTGAGGAGTGGAGATCCTTCAAACTGCTGAAACTCCTTTGCTGGAGAAACCAGCAAGGATCTCTGACTCGGGGATAACTTCAAGTCCCTCTCAACAATAACTCCTTGTGACGATTTCAAGGAAGCGTGGGGAGTAATGTCAATGGGTATATCCCCAATGGCCTTTGAATTCAAGAGGAGTTCACTGTGTTTAGCTGTGGATGTTTCAACCAAGATGTCTCCAGAACAGAGCTTCTTAACTGACTTCGGAGAGCCAGCAGCCCCTCTAAGCCCTTCTGAATAAAAAAGGAGACATTTGCCCAAAAGATTTATCGGACAGTGAAGGCAGGATCAGGAAGCAAGGTACAGGTGTACTTTGTGTTCTCTGCTGTTCAGAGTCTTCTAGATGTGGTCATTTACCGATTAGCAGAGTTCTAACATTTTTTTTATTTGGATTGGGGGATCCATAATTGAGGAGAAAGATTCAGTGCCCACTGACCCCACCTGCTATGGAGTTCTATGAGGGGACGCACTACAATGTCAAACAAGGACACTGCAGCAATGCCAGGGTTTCGTTAGCGCTATGCCCAAACACCAGCATCAGACATGATGTCCACAACACCCATTCAGAATGCCCAAAACTGGTACTCAGTTGACCCTAGCCCGAGGGGACCAGCTGATTAACCCTGGGGG